AAGAGGGAGATCGATCCGTCGTTGTTGAAGAAGGCTACTCTCAAGTGGGAGAGGCAAAAGTGCGCTAAACCAACATCGATTAGAACTGCCGCGACTGCCGCCGGCGCTGAGGTCAGCGCCGAATTGCGAGGCCTCTTCGCAAAGACGGACGAGTGGAAAGACGACGGGTGGAGCCAACCCACCAAAAAGCGGCCATATACCGCCGACTCTTGGTCCGAGGCGGCGAAGGTGTTTCACGACCTGGATAAGCCAGAATGCCCGCTCGGAACGCTAAAAAAGGGAGGCTGGCACCACTACGCGCAGGCCGGTGCATCCAAACCGGCTTCTATCTGGATGTACGTGGACGTACGCCACAATTTCGACGCAGCCTCCTCGGCTCGGCTTTGAGACCTCGACGAGAGCCATCGATTCGTCCAAAAATCAGCCGAATCGACTTCGATTCGACCGACATGGAGAGTTCTGACACTCGCGGGGAACCCAATCCACACAGGTCAGGGCGCTACGAAAGCCGTTTAGACTCCCCCCTGGGACAATTACAGCGGCGGAAAACCACGGCGGCTCGGCACGAAAAAAAGACGAAGGCCGTCTGTTCTCCGAAAATGCCGGTGGAATTCGAGTTTACGAGTGCGCGGCGATCGCCAGGGCAGCACAAGAGAGCGAAATTCCCAACTTCAGAGGCTCCTTTCTCGGCCATTTTCCACTCGTTTCGGCTGATTTTTGGACGAGCGATCATCTTTCGGAACGGCCTCGAAGCGTGGATGCTTTTTCCGGAACGCGCGTTCGCGGAACACTCGCGTTGAAGCGACGTTGAATCACTCTCGTGTCGTGCTGCCCAGGCGATCACACTGCGGCCGATGATGAATGTCATCGGCCTGTTCGCCGATTTCTACTTTCCCAGAGATGGAACAGACAAAGAGCTGGCCTATGCGCTGGGCGACGCCGGTCCACAGGTCGCCCTCTACGACTACCTCAGTTTTTTCAGGGCGCCCATCGAGACCGCGCTTTGCTCGTCCGGCGGTGGCGCCGGTGGCGGAGTTGTGTACGACGCGACCAGGAACGCTCGCTATTTCTTCCGGCACAACGAACGTGCGGATGATTTGCTTGACGACCTCTACCAACGCAGCGAGCAGCAGATGAAGGAACAGCGCAAGCGACGGCGTTGATTGCTCCGCCGGGCGCGGTTTTTGGCGCGCGCGTGCCCTGCCCAGAATTAATCACACAATTAGACCGACCACGGCGCATCTGACACGGGGGAACCAGAACCCGCCGGAGCAGGGCGGGAAACCACACGCGCACTCCACGCGCGTGCCCAAGCGCGGGCGCGCGTCGCGCGACCCGCGCGGCGAGCGCGCGCGCTTCGCCGAAACGATCTCCGACCTTGCGACGATGGAGATCCCGAGCGCGATCGCGAGCATCGCCGAGGGGCCTGGTCTCCTTTGGTCTCGGGAGACGATACGCCGCTCGAAATTCGAAGCGCGCGGTGTGGGGCCTCGCGCGACCCGCGCGGCGAGCGCGCGCGCTTCGCTGAAACGATCTCCGACCTTGCGACGATGGAGATCCCGAGCGCGATCGCGAGCATCGCCGAGGGGCCTGGTCTCCTTTGGTCTCGGGAGACGATACGCCGCTCGAAATTCGAAGCGCGCGGTGTGGGGCCTCGCGCGACCCGAGCGGCGCGCGCGCGCGCTTTGCTGCGGAGCGGAGCGGACCGAACACGCGACCCGCACCGGACGACACAGCACCCCGAATTAAGCGAGGGCGAACGAGCCCAAACTCGGCGGGCTCGGCTCACTCGGCGCTCGGGGAGGGAGGCTGGGAAGAGAGCCTCGCAGCTCGACTCAGGGCCGGAGGCGGTCCGGCTTGCTCCGCGAGCGCGGACCCCGGTCTTCCAGCCGCTGGAGGTGCTCCCGCCGGGCTTCCTCGGCCTCCTCGGCTTTCCGCTCCTTTTGGGCCTGAGCTTGCTTGTATTTCTTCGACAGCCGGATCTTTGGCGCTTTGATCAACACGTTCCAGGCGGGGTCCTTGGCGCGCGTCCGCTTGCTGGGTTCGCGCAGCTGCGTGGGGGGCTTGGTCCGAGGCTCGGCCGGCGGCTTGTCCTTGAGTTTCAGATGGCAATGACGGAGATTTGTGCCGTGCCGGGCAGGAGCAGGCGCGCCGGCGACCTGGTTCGCCTGCGTGGGCGCACAGTATATCACACGCGCGGGCCCTCGACGCCGGTCAAGCACGTAGTGCAGGTAGCGGACGATGTGCGGGTCTAAACAAAAGACCATACGCAGGGACACCTCTCCATTTTTGGCCGCCTCGAACATCTCCCGCTGCGTCCGCGGCGGAGCTTGCAAAGCCGCCTCCGACGCCGCGCGCGATTCGCAGTCCTTCGTCGTGATACCATGGCCAAGATCGCAAAAGCTCCCGATAACTACCTGGTGCCCAGAGCCATTCCCCGCCACAGTCGCAGAAAATTTGTGCTCCACCGCGATGTGGCTCGACTTTTGGAAAAACGACAGGTCCAGTTCCGGGCTTCGCTCGTATGCAACTTGCAAGACGATGTGATTGACCGGCGCACGAGGATAGTCTCCACCTCGCAGATTTCCCACAGGAGGGACCTTCCAGGCTTGGCGCACATCCCTATCCACATGGATCTTGCCAATCTCGTCGGGATGTTGCGACGTGACGATGGAGCACGCGACCTTGCTCACCAGCGAGCGCAAGGCGTCGTACTTGGGGTCCGACCGGTAAGTCTCATTGGTTGTCGGAAACTTGTAGGCCTCGGGCGGCTTCCAGACGCTTCGGATGCCCTCTGCCGTCCGGCCACCGTCCAACAGATCGCGCAGACGAACGAGCAGCGGTCCCACCTCGAAGATGAATGCCTCCAGTGCTGGGTATTCTGGCTCTCTCGACGGCGCCAACTCGTATGGGATGAAGTAGCCCTTCTTGCATCCAGGGAAATGCGCCATGGGCTTGGACTTTCCGCCCTTTGCCACAGAGCACAGGTGGCCCCAGCCCACATGGCCACGCTTCGCATTGAGTCGCTTGTCGTCGAACGACGCGGAGTTGCTGTTCATGGCCTCCAGGATCGAGTCGAGCAGGGGGCCCTTGTGCGCTTCGATGGTCGAGTGGACGTCATGGAGCAGCTGCTGGCCCTCGCGGTGAGCTGGGTTGTCGTCAGGTGTTGGGATCCAGAGTGAGGGCCGGACAACGGTGACGATCGCATCGCTCTTGTTCTTGTTCGCGAGGACCTGCAGCGCGCCACCGACCTACGAGATGCGACGGTGCCCGCCACGACGCGCCCGCGCGCCCGCGTCGCGCTTGAGACACCGACGGTGGCCTCGCAGGTGAGGCGGCGCCCGGGCTGGCGTGCCTCGGCGACCGCGACGTGCGCCTCCTCGGCGTATGGCGACGCGAAGTGGCTTATGTCGGTCATGTCGAGGGAGACGCTGCTCTTCAAACCATCAGCGGGGAGCGAGTAGAGGCTCGTCGGGAGCACGGCTCCTTTATTCATCGCGCCGGGGCCCGTCTGGACGAGCTGGCAGGGGTCGGGAGCCCAGCGTCTCGGTCGTGCACGACCTACGTTTGCTGCGGCGCTCAGGAATGGCCCATCGGGAGCGATGAGCAGCCCGATTGATGCCGCGGCACTCCAAAACTTTCTCTGTGGGCGCGCCGAGGGTGCCGCGGCACTCCAAAACTTTCTCTGTGGGCGCGCCGAGGGTGCCGCGGCACTCCAAAACTTTCTCTGTGGGCGCGCCGAGGGTGCCGCGGCACTCCAAAACTTTCTCTGTGGGCGCGCCGAGGGTGCCGCGGCATTCACAAACTTCCTGCATGGGCGCGCCGAGGCTGCCCATCAGTCGGCAATGGCTGCCCGTCGCAGGTCGGCTGGCTCGGCGTCGTCGACGGCCCGCTGCGGCTGCAGACGCAGCTCGCGGGGGTGCTCGTCGACGCGCCCCTCATCACGCAGCTCGTCGAGGCCGCGCTCGACGGCGGCGCGGCGCCCGAGTCGTTCCAGGCCGCCGCGAAGCTCGCGAAGGACTTGAGGTCTTCGAAATTCACCATGCCGGGCGGCGGCACGGACGTCCTGCGCGCGCTCAAGAGCGCGGTCAAGACCTTCGAGGACCCGGCGACCTTCGTCGACGACGACACGCTCGCGGCGGCGTTGGACGCGCTCGAGACGAGCTTCGGCGACGTTTTGAAGCACCGCGACTTCAAGCGCGACGTGCCGCTCGTCGCCGACGACGGCGTCCACGCGACGGCGGCCTTCGTGGTCGTGGCGTGGACCGACGTGCTCGAGGACCTACCGGACGCCGCCGGCCTCGAGGCGCTCGGCTTGGACCAGGACGTGCGCCGCGCCTACGACAAGGTCAAGGAGCGCATGAAGCGGCTGATGAGCGCGACGAGCGCCGTCGACGAGGCGCTCGCGACGGCTACTACGGGCCAGACGACGCGGCGGGCGACGTCGCGCTAGCCGATCACGTTCTCCGTCGACGTGCGCTCGCTCGCCGAGCGCCTGAAGCTCGTCGGCGCGACAGCCTGCGCGGCGTGGCGAGCTCGTGCGCCGCGGCGCGGCCCTTGTCGACGTCGACGCCGAGGTCAACGACTGCTACGACGTCGCCCGCGAGGAGATCATCCGCGACGTTCTCCGTCGGCGCCACCGCCGCGGTGCCGCGCGAGCGCGCTCGCGGGCGCGGCGAACCGCGACTGGCTCGCCGAGACGCCGGCCTTCGGCGGCCTCCGGCTGACCACCTTCGACCTCGAGTTCACGTCGAAGCTCGCGACGCCCCAGCGCGCGTTCACGGCGCGATCCGGCGCGATCTACGGCGCCGTCGATCGGCCGCCGCGCTCGCGTGCGGCCGAGCCCTGGCTCCCGGGCGTCGCGGGTCCGGGCCGTGCCTCGCGCCGGTCGCGCGGCACCGCGACGACGGCGGCGCAGCGCGCCGGCCGTCCGACGTCGGCCCCAACGCGGACGAGTCGCCCGTGCGCGGACGTCGGACGTCGGCAGCTCGGAGTTTATGATCACACTCATCGGAGTTTATGATCACATTCATCATCATCACACAGCGGGGGGAGGTCGCGCGACGGGGCGCGCCGGGGGAGGAGGCTTGGCGCCGCGGAAGTTCAAGGATCAGACTTGCTGATCATGTTCACCTCAACAAGGCGTCTTCACAACTTGAATCACATCACAAGCTCTGCTTGCTCGCGGCCTGCGCTGCGCTGCGCCGTGCGCGCCCGCGAGCTGCGCCCCGCTATTCGATCGCATCGTGGAGCGCGTCGTACGAGTCGTCCCTGACCAGCTCCTTGGCTCCGGAGAAGACGCGCGCGCGCTCCTACGCGGCGGTCGAAAAAGCCGCGGAAACGCTCTCCGTGGCCGTCCGGCGGCCGCCTGCGTCGAGACTGAATTCTCTTTCGCCCGGGGGCGTGTTTCGATGCTAGGAGTCGAGGCCCGCGCGGGGTTTCGGGTTGCGCGGCGAAGTTCCGGAGACGCGCGCGCGCGGACGCACTCGGCGGCTACGGCTGCGCCGCGGCCTCGCTCTACATGGCCGCGGCCTTGTTCTACACGGCCTACGGCTACGCGCCGTGCGCCGGGACGTGCTAGCCCGTCGTGGCGAAGACCCTCGGCATCGTCGTCGACGTCGACGAGGCCCTGGGCTTCGCGACGGGCTACGACGAGGTGCCCGTGGTCTTCTACGGCTACGGCTACGGCTACGCGTCGCTCTACACGGCCTACGGCTACGCGCCGTGCGCCGGGACGTGCTAGCCCGTCGTGGCGAAGACCCTCGGCATCGTCGTCGACGTCGACGAGGCCCTGGGCTTCGCGACGGGCTACGACGAGGTGCCCGTGGTCTTCTACGGCTACGGCTACGGCTACGCGTCGCTCTACACGGCCTACGGCTACGCGCCGTGCGCCGGGACGTGCTAGCCCGTCGTGGCGAAGGCCCTCGGCATCGTCGTCGACGTCGACGAGGCCCTGGGCTTCGCGACGGGCTACGACGAGGTGCCCGTGGTCTTCTACGGCTACGGCTACGGCTACGCGTCGCTCTACACGGCCTACGGCTACGCGCCGTGCGCCGGGACGTGCTAGCCCGTCGTGGCGAAGGCCCTCGGCATCGTCGTCGACGTCGACGAGGCCCTGGGCTTCGCGACGGGCTACGACGAGGTGCCCGTGGTCTTCTACGGCTACGGCTACGGCTACGCGTCGCTCTACACGGCCTACGGCTACGCGCCGTGCGCCGGGACGTGCTAGCCCGTCGTGGCGAAGACCCTCGGCATCGTCGTCGACGTCGACGAGGCCCTGGGCTTCGCGACGGGCTACGACGAGGTGCCCGTGGTCTTCTACGGCTACGGCTACGGCTACTTAAGATATAACTTCCGCCACAATAAATTGTGGAAGGGGGGGGAGGGTCTCCAAACAAGGGACTGCATAGCCACCTGGTCCAGGAAGTGGCGCAGCTTCGCTGCGTCTCCGCTGGAAACCATGAGGCTTCGCGACTTCGGCGGGCCTATTTGACCGTTCGAAACCATGAGCTGAAAGGCCGCCTCCCCCATGATCTTCCCTCTTTCAATTTCTTCTAATGCCTCTTCCGGCTCGCCGATGGAAGCCCATTTTGCTGCTGATTCGAAATAGTTTTTTGTCATGTTCGTCATTTTGAGAAGCTCGTCACTTGCGACTGCGGCATAGAGGTGCGCCTCCCATCGCTCCAGGTTCTTCAGAGATTCACTCGCTCGAATCCGCCCTCGCCCTTGAGTGTTGCTTTTAGCGTAAGAAGAAATCCCAATGCTCTCGAATAGGTCCACGTCATCTTCCACCGGGAGACGGCCGGCTGCTGTCATCGCAGCCGCGCGCGCCTTCTTCACTGAATCCACAGAAGATTTCGCCAACCCGAACTGGAGATCCGCCAACACGCGGGCCGCGTGGCCCGCGTGTTGGCACTTCTTGAGCGAAGATCCGACGGGCAAAAACTCGGAGAAAATATACACGCCGGCGGTGCGGCTGCGGCGTAGGCCGAGCGAGGCGTAGTGCCCTTCAATGGTCGCGCCGTTCTCGAGGATCCCTAGCTTGTTCGAGGGCTTCCATGTACCGCGATATTTCCAATGGGACTTTTTTTTTTTTTTTTTGGGAGAAGGAAAGGCGGACTTTGAATGGGTGGCGCCGCTGCTCAATGATGCTACAGGATGGGCACGGGCGCAGGTATGCAGAGCGTCGAGGAGACGGTCGCGCTGCGAACGCGCGGAAACTTCCATGTTGTCTCGCTTTTTGGACGGGAACCACGTCGCAGGCGATGATAAGACTTGATCAGCAGCCGACGTCCGCAGTCTTCACCGCAGCTTCACCTTGCACTTCGCGCNGACCTCGCCAGA